ACAAATGTTTAAACTCAATTATCTCGAAATGAGATAAATGTAAAAATGGGCCCTTTTAATTGAAGACACCCCATATAGGTCATTTAAGGTCATTGGCCAACCCTGTTTACGACAGATACATTAGATACATTAAGTCAAACTTATAACACATAATAATTAAATAGTAATTCGGGTTTTTAATTTTTTGCCCAATTTCAAAAATGATAGTTTATTTATTAGAAATTATTCTGCATCAAGCGAGTACCATAGTCATGACGCGGTCCCATGACAACAACGATGCTATTAAAAAAAATAAATAAAATACAGGAGAAAAGAAAAACTTAAAGCCAAACTTAAATAATCAATACATTATATATCAACATACAAATTGAATATAAATAAAAATTTAATTGGTTACGAATAATGGATTCAATATGTATGTATTAACGGGTATTCTTTGTAACCAATTTTAACCATCAGGTCAAATAATTTCATTATTAGTTTTATTGTCTTGATCATACAGTTAATTGATTCACCCTCTTTTCGCACTCTAATTAAAAAAGTTGGTAAAGAAATTGATAGCTTGACGAAATTTTTATCGTTGCACTTTAGTTCACTAAACTTAGTTGCTCGAGTTTTGACTTTATTTAAAATCAATAATTCATGTAATTGTCTTCTATTCTAAGGCTTTTTTTTTTTTTTTTTTTTTTTTTTTTTTTTTAGTTTATTAGTGATTTTTGGCTTCGTAAATACGAATTAAAAAAAAAAAATTTTATAGTTGTTAAAATGCAAATACAGTAAAGAAGAAACAAAGAAGTGTTTATTTGTAAAATTAAAGAAAAAAGTGAATGTATATATATTTTATTGGTATCGAACTAATGCCGATATCAGTGACTTGGAGTAGCAAGTTTCTTTCACAATCAAATCGGAGATTTCCGTCTATGTAAGATAATTTCCGCCTCGATTTTTCAACAGACGGAAAATTTCCGTCATTTATATTAATGACCTCTGACTGTGGTTTCCAGTTTCGGTTAGAAAAAGTACTTTTGGGAAAAATCACACTACATCACCCGGAAATTTTGTGCAGGCACTCACATGTCCGAGTTTTTTGTTGGTAAGATTACGGCATACGGTACTTCTACTTATACGGCAAACGTGCTATATTGCCGTGATATTTTTGTTGGGGTAGTTACTACTCAAGATTCTAAATGTCTACATCTCTGGGAATAATGCCTCCTTTATTACCCTAGCAATTTTGATTAAAATTAATAATTATACGGGTTCAGCACTATCTATATTGAACCATGGCCAAGTACAAATTCAACCTATTAAATATACTGTACTTGGAAATAAATACAATGAACTTGCTTTCGCCTGTATCTTAAATCTTAAGGTTTAATGCTGCAATAAACCGAAATAAGAAATTTGTAACTGGTTTACATTTGTAAATGAATTAAGGGTTCGTATATCTGCCAACCTTCTTTCAATTTTGAAAATTAAATGTACGTTTACAACAAAGAATAATGAAAAGACAAAATTGCTTTCTTTATAAATTTATTATAGATGCAATCTTATGAATAATATATAGTGTAAGACCTAATAATTACACAAAACGTCGCCGTTTTTCTAGTATATATAAAATTGGTCCGGGATCAAAATAAATACCCAAATAAATAGAATTTATTAGTACGTATTCACCGGAGGTGAAATTAACTACGATACGTTTTTAATTATTATTATTATTATACAAATTTTAAAATTAAAGTTGGACTTTAGAGTTAGTATTTAAGGTTTAAATTAAAGCAGAGGTTAGGGTTTTTTAGGTGCTGAAGATTATTCTACATATGGCAATAATTGCTTACTGTTACATTCGAACCGCCTCTTTTAAGTTTGCATAATTAATTTACTTTCGTGGCGGATATCGTATACATTAATAACAATTGCCATGTTTATGCTTAACGTAATTTTGATCGCTAATCGATTACTTATAACTCTGGTTAAATTTGTAGATCATTTAGCCAAGTTCGGAATCAGAAAAACTCTGAAATTGGCCAATCGATCTGCAATTTTGACCAGAGTTATAAGTTATCGGTTCTGATATAAGGCCACGCCAATTTAAAAGTTTAACATTAACCCCCAGTTGATCCTTAGATATAAGGAGTCATAGGAAGACATTCGTATGATTGGCTGTTTAAATCAATTTAATTTTACATTATTTATACAGTTTAAAGTACTTTTTAAAAAAAATCAAACTACGAAGAATAAACAAAAAAGAAGTATATAGAAAGTTTTATTATGGTTGTAGAACTCAAGTATTAAAAATAATCAAAATTATTTCTGGTTTTAGAGAAGTTAGCATGGTAATCCCCTGCACGTGACCTCTTACGTCATTTTTTCTAGGAGGTAATTTGCAACCGGTAGTAAAAATTATAGCCAGGGAATTACTACTAATAACAACCCGGGAAGTATTTGATTACTAATCAATGTATTATATTTTATCATCAATACTAACGCTAAGCTAATATTTTTTTACATAATTATAGAAAAAGAAGAATCCTAACGATTAATATTAATCTTGAAATTTTTAATTTTGCAATTGGAAATTTTAATATTCAAGTCCTTAAAGGAGAATTCTTGAACGTCTTCATTTGTGGACAAAGGAGCAAATGGCAATCGGGATTGGGTAAGTAATAATTTGCAACCATTATTGTTATCGCTGTTACTTTTATTTTCATCGAATTCATCATTAACTTCAATGCTGTCTTCATTAACTTCATTATTAATTTCACCGGCTTCATTAACTTCACCGGCTTCATTAACTTCATTATTAATTTCACCGGCTTCATTAACTTCATTATTAACTTCACTGATTTCATTATTTTCATTGATTCGGTCATTATGTTCACCGGCTTCATTATTCTGGTGGTTGGTTTTATTATCGTTATTCTATTTTTTTTTCAAAAAAATATGTATTACGTATCGTTATCATTGTAAATAAAATATATTTAAATGTATATATATAATATACATATATACATACCTTTTTAGTACCGGGAGGTACTACTAACTTAGCAATTGTAACACGTTGGTTTTTATTTTGAGATCTGTACATATTGTATGCATCGATTGTTCTGTGTTTAGTAATGCTCATCACTGCTTGAACATCGACTCCTGCATCATTCAGTTTCTGGGCGCGAATTGAATAATTTACTATCCTCCTTCCATTACAGTCAATACCCGTAATAGTACAAATTTCTTTTAAAAAACCTGAAAGTTTATCGCGACCCAAATGCTTATTTGAATACCAAATTTCATCTAAATTTAAATAAATATATGTAGCAGTATAAATAAATATGTAGTATACGTAAAATTAAAAAAAATAAATAAAAGTAAAATATATTACTTGAGTAATTAATAAGCAGATGAAAAAAAATTCTTCATCCGCATCAACTGGTCGTTTGGATATACAGTCGCACTCCCATATAGTCACCTCCTACATAATCACATTTTCTATTTATTCACCTAAAAATTCAGTCCCGATTACATTTATATTAAAACCTTTTCTTTAATGTCACAATTTCTATATAAGCACTATCACCAAATTTTGTAAACCAATTTAAATAAATTCTATCTATAAAATCACAATTTTTATATAGTCACAATTTTAAAAATATAGGATTATTTAAATAGAAATAGCTTTCTATAAAATCACATTTTAAGTATTATTTTTCTTAATTTTGATTTTTTATTACAGTATATTCTAATTTACTAATTTTGCCTTTTTTTTCTAACATTACTAAGCTTTGTCACAGGTTTAATTATGATATTACGGTGGCAGAGTTTGAATACCACTATAAATAGGTTTGCACCAATTTTTTTATATTTTTACTTTTCTTTTAATTCATTTGGGTTAGGTCTTTAAACATATTGCGACGCTAGATTTTATACACATATACATACTTATGTATGTATGTACATATCTCTGATATGTGTATTGTGCAAATGTACGCGCATACATACGGTGCAGGAAATTTATAAACCACAATCACTTTATATAGAATAAAGTTTAATTAACTCATAGGAAAGTGATCTAAATATGTATGGCATTCTTAATAGCAGCTTATTTCAGTATGCAGATAATAGTTACTCTTAAGTGCATATTATTATTCTTTGGCTATGCAAAAAATTCTAGCCCATTTTTTAGATCGATAATTTAAGAATTTTATTTTCAATATGTCACTAGTTTATGCATTATCTCTATATAGAGAGATTGAGGTTTTTAAGTTTCTTGCACCGTATGTATAATTTTATCACAAAACTGTTCTTTGATGGTCAATACAGAAACTGGTTATTTCAAGTATCTATCGATTATTCTAAATTGGAATTAGATTAGTATTAAACGTTAAAGGTTGAGTAACAATAACAATAAACAACTTATCTTGCATTATTGTAATCCATAAATTATCATAAATTGCAATAAAATACAAATACTCTTTATCCTAGGCGGCTGTGCAAAAAAAAAAATTTTAATTGATGATAAATTTGGTACTAATAGTACTAAAATGTTTTAATACTGTATTTGTGTTCTTTT